TCCCCCCCCCCCACAATCACGTGGGCACGAGTACTAGTTTATGTAACAACCCCGATTCTAAAGTAATCTTTTTGGAAAGGCCAAATACATATATAGCCCATTCAACTTGGTTTTATTTTTCATTTTGATACTCTATCTCACTCTTGTTCCATTTTGGCCCTCCAACATTAACTCTTATGTTTCACTTTAACACAAAAGTTAAAATTAGTGCAAAAAATCTAGCGTATGTGTATACACAAATCTGATGTGTAATAAATATCCAATTAAATATTGTCACCTAGTTTTTTCATCCATGCCAAGAGGGTCGATACTAAAATACCCGAACCCGACCGTATTTGGGTAAAATTAAGTTCGCTTCTTATTTACACAAAAAATGACAACACTAAAAATGAAATCTAAAAATGGTTCACATACTTTGTCAAATTTATACCCATAAAAGCGACGACCTAGATTTCTTGGTGTCCGTGATACTTTCAGTTCAATTTGAAATCTACAAGAACAAATATTCATTCCATTATGAAAATAATTTTCTTTGAGACATGAATTCACTTCAAACTTCAAGCTTGGATGAAATAAACCCACAAAAAAAAAAACAGAATTAATAAATGAACAATAAATTGCAAAAGTTTGAAATTTTCTGGATGAGCCAGGTATGAAATCGGCAGATGAAAGCTTTGGAACTTTGAAAATGAAGATGGGGTAACAGTGGATGAAAAAAATACGGTCGGGTTCGGGTATTTTAGTATTGACTCGTCTGATATGGATGAAAAAATTAGGTGGCAATATTTAATTGGATATTTATTATACCTCAGATTTGTGTATACACACGCGGTATATTTTTTGTACTGGTTTTAACTTTTGTGTTAAAGTAAAATATAAAAAATAGAGTTGAAGGAATAAATTGGATAATGTTGAGATAAAGTACCAAAATAAAAATAGGGCTGAGTTGAATGGGATGTACATATATTTGGCGTTTTAGGAAAATCACACCTTTTTGCTAATATGTCCCCTTTTTATTATTTTGGTCTTTTGTGCAAAATTTACAGTATCGTGTTACCGGAGCCAAAACACGAAGCTGCTAGTGTCACTTCTCTCTTTGAAGCAATTATCTTCATCCCTTAAAAATTACAACTTCAAAATTCCAATCCAGTTAAAGGTATGAAGTTGCTGGGTTTTCTCGTATATTCATTTTCTCCTAACACTGAAATCTGCACAAAAATTATGAATTTAAATTTGTAAAGTTTTGATTTTGACTATGTTTTTGGCATATTGCAGCTTGAATTTGATGTTTTGGGTGTGAAAATGGAGGAGAGTGGCCCAAGTAGAGAAGAACCGACATCATGGGAAGACCTTTACAAAGTAAATTTGGTGCCTTCAGAGCTTTTTCTCAAATTTAGAAAAGAAATTGAGGGTTTTCGGGTTGGCGTTAACTTGGAGGTGCTCATTTCTTTTCCATACCATTTTTTTAATCATTCCTAATTCCTTTAATTTATGCCCTGATCCACGTGTTCTTGAGAAATTCCGGCTCTTTCTTGATTGCCCTCGAGAATGTACTGCCCTCGATGCTCTACTTCTCCGAGGTGCGTGTCCTCCGACCAGGTCCGACCTCTACCTCGAGTCACCCGGACTTGGACTCATAGTCCAATTTAAGGCTTTGAAATCGGACTTCTTGATTTTGACCGTATACAGATAGTCCTCGCGTTTCTTAGAATGAAATGATAAGAAACGATTTGAACCTCGATTTTCCCGAGCCTCTCGCGATGATGTCATGCTCGTGACGTAGGCACTTGAAGTGATTGAAACGTCCCACCGGTCCATATCCCCAAAAGCATTGAACATCCCGCCGGTCCATTTCCCCAAAAGCATTGGTCGGCCACTGGTGCCGCCGAAACGTCACTGGCTTTCTATAAATAGGGGTGTTACTTGGATGAACAAAGACTACACTCATTCCTTCTTCATCAACTTTTAGCCATTTCCCTTCTCCATCTCTTCTAATAATCACCTATTTTTATGGTTTAAATTTGTGACCACAAGGTCTCATGGCAACAATTTTACCAATTACGCCAAGACTTCCTTTTTTAAAGCTTTACCCTACTAAATGGGATTATACTGGGTTGTTGTTGTTGTTGTTGGCTCGAGACAACGGGAGAAGGGCACCGAATTCTTCTCGCACCGGAAGATATGCGAACTTTACACTGCTGCTCATCTCTCTTAACTTCAATCTAGTGTGGCGCTCCATTCCTTTTGCTTTCCATGGAGTGAGGTGGCACTATCATCTACTAACTTTTGCATCCCATACCAGTACAATGTCTCAAGAAGTGGTTTCAAAATAGTTGTGCTGATAAGACCCACACTCGCCAAGTTTTTCACCAGGCCGCAATTTTCTCTAAAGATCGAGATGGAGTCCCCGAGGAAGAGGTTCTCGAAGATGCCGCTCTCAAGGATATGCCCCCAAAAGTAGATTAGGTTCTTGGCTTTTTGTTTTTGCTTCTTTGTTTCTGTGTAAGGGCCCCTCGTGGGCTTTGTAAATATCTTTTGTCAATATAAGGAATTACTCTATTTCATCTTCCATTCGTGTTGAATTCCATTCTGCCTTCGTTTGTGAAAAATCCGAGTGTATGACTCTAATGATTAGTCCGAATACTGGACCCGAAACATAATAAACCCTTAGGTTTTTGATCGACCGATATAATACCTCTTAAGGTTCTTTGTTAATCCTTGAGCTAAGCTTAAATTGATTTGATGCAAGCTCGGGATACCGAGACTCCTGAGTCCGATTTTAGTGAGAGCAAGGTCTCGAATTTGAAATAAAGTTAGCTCTTTAGGCTTCGTAGATAGTCCCCGAGTGAGAATTTTTTCGAACTCGGGTAGCCCTTGGGCTTAGTAGTTGAGTGAGTACTTGCTCAAACTCGAAATAAAGTTAGCCCTTAGGCTTCATAAGTAGTCCCCGAGTGAGAATTTTCTCGAACTCGGGCAGCCTTTGGGCTTAGCAGTCGAGTGAGTACTTGCTCGAACTCGAAATAAAGTTAGCCCTTAGGCTTCATAGATAGGCCTCGAGTGAGAATTTTCTTGAACTCGAGCGGCCCTTATGATTTTTGACGAATTAATCCTTGATGTCCTAGTCCTGACGCCAATATCGCAATGTCAGCGGTTGAAGCGATTGAAAAGTTATTTTTTGTGCGATTCCCAAAGTCATTAATTGGAGGCGGCTGACGGTCGGCCTTTTGGCTTCCTCGGCACGCTTAAGTGACCTTTATAAATAGACAAATTCCACAACCTTACAAACTTTATTCCCGTATTGTTTTCAAAGTCTCATTATCCTTTTTTCAATCTTCTTGAGCTCTCCCTTCTCTTCACTATCAACACTCTTTACTTTCTTAGATCTTCTGTATTGCGATGGCTAAAACCTCCAAACCGGTTTCCTAAAAGGAAAAAGCTTCATCATCTTCTCAATCGGCCAAGGGTAAACCAGTAGTTGCCCCTAGTATCGAGGAATGTATTCCTCCGCCATGTGAAATAACATCCGATTTTAAAATCGAGAAACCTATTTCGACACCAGGCCGATGCGAGCCCATGTCTCGATATGTTTGTCTGGTGACCAAGGCCGAGCTCAAGCAAGTAAAGGAAGATTGTAAATGGGACAATAAAGGAATAGTGATTCCTTCCTCCGAGGAGGACATCACCACGTATAAAGCGGGGTACCTGAGCTGAGCGTATACACCTACCCATTTACGTTGGGCCCTGCAATTCCGGCTCAGGGTCCGATAGATGCAGTTATTCTTGACTTTTGCTAACGATACCGAGTGACGCTCGGCCTGATCTACCCCTCATTCTGACGAATTGTTTACTTAATCAGGTTTTTTTCGAGCCAAATCGAGGGGATGTCCTTTACCCTCGATCATCTGATCAGACTGTACAGTCCCCGACTTTATCGTGGGGGTTTGATAAAATTGTAACTCCGATCCTTAAAATCCCTGTTTGCTAGTATCGATGAGGACAAAAGTCGTGGGTGTATGAGCCGGTTTGTCCGAGTCAGGACCTCCGATCTAATTCCTGCCGATTGGATGCCGTTCCCCGAGGAGTGGAATATGAAATGTGAGTACGCAACACGTTTATACTTTTCTTTCCCCTGGCTTTATATTTTTCATCGATCTAACCCCTTTACGATGGTGCAGCTGCTGCTTGGTTTCCTGGTGGGGTCCCGGACCTCGAGGGCTGGGTCCGAAAGCTGGCCTCCGCCTCCTTTTACTCGGAGCGTTGCTGGCGAGATCTGGCCAAGGGTCAATGGGAGGCCAAAAACCATGGTGAGCTTGCTTGTTTGTATTCTTGTGCTTCTGCCACGGAATACTGACCTTGGTTTCATGTAGGTCTTGGAGACGCCGTTGAGTTGCGGCCGGCCCCGGCTAATGAAGTGGAGGTTCCGAAGCCATCCAAAGATAGAAAAAGAAGAATGGAGTCATCTGAAAATCCCTCGAAGCCAAAGAAGAGCGTGGCTCAAAGGCCTAAGGCCGATACAATGACCTTATCTCCAGAAACGGCCCAACGTCTTCGAGAGCAGGAGGAAGAAGAAGATGATGACTGCCTGCTGGTAACCCATGAAAAAAGAAAAAATGTCGATGCTCCGACGCCCATCGAGCCGGTGGCGGTTGATGTGGCTCAATCCAGAGCCGAAAAAATTTCCGAGGGGAGTTCGAACAAAGTCCCCGAACCATCATCTAGAAAGAAAGCACCTCGCCTCGGAGATCATTTGGAGGGCGAGGGCGAACGACCTGACCCCGAGCCTCTTCAGATAAGAGAAAATTCTCTGATTGGATCACTTGGTGTGATCAATGTGGATGATTCGCCTCCTGGTCCCGAGTTCTCCGAGGGACAAATCCGAGATGCCCACAATATGAGGTCTTCTGAAGTGGAAGCAAGCCACGAAGGGCATGATATCTTTCGAGAATGTCTCGCAGGGCTTGACGATGGTCTCGACCCCGATGCCTCTTTTGTTTTTGATGAGGCTCGTAGTCTCTTTAAACAAGTGAGTTTTCTGTTTTTTATGCCTGCGACTTTGTTTTAGCTGTTCTGAACCCATCTTCCCTCCTTTTTCGTGAAGGCTGTGGTGCTCCATAAGAGGGCATTTTCCAAGTCCTAAGCTGATCTTGCTCGATGCGAGGCTGAGCTTAAGAAGACTTTGGAGGAGAGGGACGTCGTCAAAGCCCTTTATGCTAAGAAAGAGATGGAGATCCACGATCTTCGAGTTGAGTTGTCGCGGGCATGCCAAGGTCGAGCCGAGTATGTGGAGAAGGTAACACAACTCTCGAAGGTCTATTACGTACCTACCTGTTTTAGCGACTGACATTTTTAATTTCGCAGTTTCAGCAAAAGGCCGACTTGGAGGCGCAGCTTCGGGAGGAGCTTAAGATGATAGAAAACAAGACCTTGGGGTTGAGGCAAGGTATGGACAATCTCGCCTCTGAGAAGGAAACTCTAAGAGAGCAGTTAACTTCGCTCGAACGCCAGCTTCGAGGTGAAGGAGGAGAGCCAAGCTTGGGGCCTCGAGATCAAGGAGCTTAAAGCCAATCTGTTGCTACGCTGGCCAAGGCTAAATCTGATGTTGCGGCAAGTATGGCTTCGTATCGAGTCGATACCGAAGCAGCTAATGCTCGAGCAAGGGAGATCTCTTCTACGGCGGAGGTTAAGTTATCAAGTGCCCTTGACCATGCTAAGCGACAATCGCGGAGGATGACCCTCGAGGAGATACATGCCCGCGGTTTCGATCTTTCGGCCGATATTGAAGCAGAGAAGATTTTGGAAGAAAAGGCGACCGTTCTGCTTTTCGATGAGGATGATTCAACCGGTGTCTCTGAGAGTGAAGGAGACGGGGATGAAGTCCCCGAGGGTGAGGCTTTTGAAGATGCGACTCCTGAAGATGTGGTTGCTAAGGATGTGACCCCGAAGTAGTTTTAGGTCACTTTATTTTGTTTCCTTGTAAGACCTCCTTGTATAAATATTTCCTGTAATCATCTTTTGGAAATACGAGGGGAACTTTTATCTTGTCTTTGGTTTGTGCTGGATTTAACATTGTCTTTATTTATGGAAGACTTCGTTTGAATAATTAATCCGAGGATTGGTTTAGGGTTCGGGGTGTTACCAAACCCTTAGATCTTTATCGATAGATTTAATAATTTTCGAGCTAAGTTTAAATCAATCCGATGTAAACTCGGGATATTGTGAACCTTGAGTTCGGATCGAAGTAAGAGCGAAGTCTCGAACTATAAGTTTTTGCTCTTAAGCCTTTCGATGTTGGCCATTGGGCTCTTATATATCGGCCCTTAGGCTCTTTTAAACTGGCCCTTAAACTCTTTTAAAATTGGCCCTTAGCCTCTTTATATTGGGTCGTTTCGGCCTCTAGAATGGCTTTGTAATTTTTTCCTCATTTCGGCTAAAAGACT